ACACTGAATTAGTTAGTGGATCTCCTTTGATGTTATTTTGTGGGCAAACTCATTAATTTATGACAAAAAAACATCAAAGAGCGAGGCTTTTGCATAGGGCCTGGTTTGTCCCAAGGCAGCTGGGTAATAATGATCAGTCAGATTAAATCTCAGCGTCTTCTCCTTCCTCCAGAGTTAAAGTCCAAGTGACTGGAGTGTGGGAACATCGCATTCTGTAGGATTCCATTGCAGCCTCGAGTCAGTACTATAGGAAGCTCTCCTCACTCTGAAAGTGGATCTCTCTCCATAGCTTCCACTTTGATGCCTCTAAGCCTGAGGTCTGTCAAGACTGTGATAACAACCCTGGAGGCAATGTACTAGTAAAAGGCTGAGGCTGTTACTGTCTTTTTCTAGTCAGAGGAGCTGGATATTAGAAGGGATCATTCATCCTTGCATGGATGAGTTCAAGGTTCTGTACAGAGTCCTAGTCCTGTAATTTCACTGGTAAGGAGAACTCTCCCTGGGCTCTACAGGAAAGTGCCAGCATCGTGCTTGGCACACAGGAAACTCTTCATACATAATAGCTGAATGTGCTTGTTTAGAAATGTTGTGATGCATGCAGGTCTTGGCTAGTTGAAGAGGAATAAGGTGTAGAGCTCAAGTCTTAACTTGCACAAAACCTCCTAGTCTACTTATACCGGTGGCCCGTACTGTGCTTCTTCCATTGTATTTGTGGTGGGAAATTGTCTGTGCTCCTTTCCAAAGCCACCCCCTCCATGTTTGCCCATTCTCTGCTGACCTCTTAAGGGCTTGCTTCTGCTATTAACCCTCTTTTTTCAGAGCCATCAGTGTTTCCTCCCTGGTAGATTATTCCTGTCGGCAAACCCCAAATTCTAATGTCTTGCATCTTAAAACAACCTCCTTTGCTCCTTCTTCTCCCTCAAGCCACCATGCTACTCGTCACTCTCCTTTATGGCAAAATGACTAAAGGAGTTGTCTCTGCTCCCAGTATCTCTACTTCCTCTCCTCCATTCTGACTCTCAAACCCATTTGAATCAGACTCTCCTCTCCATGCTCCACTAAAACGGTCCTTATCAAGATTACCAGTGACCTTCTTGCCACCAGGTCCAATGGTTATTTCTCAGTCTTCATGTTATTCTAGTGTTATTCTCTATGTGAGCAGCACTCAACGAAGCTGGTAGGACTCTGTTACCAGGTTTCTTACTGGGCTCCAGGATACCACTCTCTCTCAGGTCTCCTTCTACTTCACTGGCCACTCTTCTCAGAATCCTTTCATCTTCCCAAGCTGTAAGTAATAAAGTACCAGGACTGGTTCTTAATTTTTTTCTAGCTTTACCGGCTTCCTAGATAATTTCATCTAGACCCATGGTTTTAAATACCATTCACATACTGATGACTCCTGAAGTTTTTATTTCCAACCCTCTACCTCTTCCCTGAATGCCAATTGTGTGCTTTACTAAGATGTATAACATGCATATCAAACTTCAAACCTAAACTAAGGGGACTTCCCTGGTGGGTCCAGTGGTTAAGAGTCCACCTTGCAATGCAGGGGATGAGAGTTCAGTCCCTAGTCAGGGAACTGGGATCCGACATGCCACAGAGCATCTAAGCCATACTAGAGAATCCATGCACCACAATGCAAGGTCTCAGGTTATGCAATGAAGATCCCTCAAGCTGCACCTAAGACCTAATGCAGCCAAATAATAAATATTAAAAATACCCTGAATCAACTAAACACATCTGTAATCCCCATCCTTGCTCAGCCCTTAGTCTTCCTCCCTTAGTAAATAACAACTCCTCTGTTTCAGTGGCTGAGACTTCAAAACTTGGAATCATCTTTAACTTCTTTCATGTTGCAACCTCAATCTATCCACAGGTCCTTTCAGCATTACCTCCAAGTTATAAATATCTAGAGTCTGGCCACTTCTCACCACCTCCACTGTTACTCCCCTAATCTCAGCCACCACCATATCTTGCCTGGATAACTCTACAGCCTCCTAATTGGCCTCATTGCTTCTGTTCTTGCATCTCTGCCAACCCTAGCATCTAGAGCAATCTATTAAAAACTGCAATTAGATAATACCATGCCTCTACTCTAAATCTTTAAGGATTGCTATCCCACTTTCTGAATGGAATCCAAAATCCTCATGAGGGCCGACAAGTCATGTAAAACCTGGCTCCTGCTCCCCTTCTGGTTTCAGCTTCTGTGTCTCTTTCCTTTACCCCCTCCAGTCTAGCTACACTGGTCTCCCTGCTATTTGAACATGGCAAGCTCATGCCTCGGAGCCCTCGTACTCTGTCCTCTAAGCTTTGTCCATTTTCTCAGATAACTGCATGCTAAATTCTCTCACTTCCTTCAGGCCTCTGCCCAAACGTCACCTTAAAAAACTTGCCCTATTTTTCCTAAAATACCCTCTACCCCCATCTCTCTCTCATTACCACGCTTTACTTTTCTTCCTATTGGTGATTACAACTTGAGATATTTGATACTCTTTGCTAATCCATTATTGATCATTTCCCTATTAATATAAGTTTAATAAGAACAAAATCTTTGTGCATTTAGTCATGCCTGTATCCTAATCTCCTAGAAAAACATGCCTGGTACATAGTAGGTGTTCAACAAATATACATAGAATGCACTCATCCAGGTGTGTTATCTTCGAGTGAAGAGAGTGGTTTTCAGATGGTTGTCTAATTAATATGATCAAAACCAAGTGTGAGGAACTGGGAGAGGTATACATGGAGATCATCAGATGTGTGTGTGTTTATTACCAGAGATCACCATGGGAGTCACAGATATTTTCAGGTTGTTGTTCGATGCCAAATCATTTGCAAAGCTATAGGTGAAATGAAACATCTGCCTTTAATTCCTTTGGCATATCCTTATCCTTGGGGACTCAGTGTGTTTATCTGTGAAATAGGCAATTGGAGATGTGGTTACTGTTTTGCTAATTTATAAGCTACAGGATGCTGGAAGGAGACAGTACAGCTAGGGGGATCAACCACATGAGCCCTGGAGCTTGACTGCCTGTGTTTGAATCTTGCCTCTGTTCCTCACAGGCCATGTGACCTCCAGTAACTTACTCAGTTTCCTTATTTGTAAAGTGAAATAATAAAAGGCATTTAATTCAAAGAATAATTATGAGGATTATATAAGATAATACATGTAGAATATGGCCTGGCACATCATAAGTGCTCAACAAATGTTAGCTATTAAACATGAGATGCTCTGAGGGGTCATTGCTATTAGTGTCTTTTAGGGGCAATAAGCTATCATAGAATATTAGATGATATGGAGCTTTTTAAAGTGTGATAATAATATTGTGATTAGGTAGGAGAATGCCCTTATTTTTAGGAGATACATGGTGAAGTACTTAAGAATAAACCTTTACTTACTTTCTAATAATCTAGCCAATTATATCTCTATGTTTCTGTATCTAGCAAGCAAATGTGACAAAATGCTAACGACCGGTGAAGCTAGGTGGATAGTACAGTTTATTGTACTAACCTTTCAAAGTTTCTGTATGTTTTAAACTTTTAAAATAAAAAGTTGAGGAAAAAGAAAGAACCCTAGAGGTAGTCTAGTGAAGTTCAGTACTCAGTTTACAGAAAGAAGACCAGATGTGAAGTGTTTGCTTAAGGTCATACTGCCTGAGCCAGGACCCAGGTCTCCTGGCTAACTGTGTGTGTTAACCCTCAGGCAACTGTGAGCTGCATAGAAATATTCCCACCTTTCTCTCAGAGACCAAGGGGGGTTTATGGGTGTATAAAAGGGCACCTGTGTTGGTGCTTCCTTTTTGTTTATTATGCAGATAGATAGGTCATCTGGTTGGAAGGTGTGATGTTGAAAAATGTGAAAGAGGTGCCAGAGCCAGACCTGCCATCCTTAAAAAGTGGGCATACCAGTTTGGCACCGTCTGCTTGTGGTTTTTAAGTGGTGGTGATGGCGTGTGTGTTTGTAAACTCTGGGATTTCAGAGGAGAGAGGGAAGAGTAAAGGTTGGGGTCAGGGCCAGGAAAAACAGCAAGGAGAAACTGGCTTCAGTCTGGAGCTCCCTGAAAGAAGGGACCCCAGGGTATTTCTGGGGATGAAACAAGGGCACATATTTAAAGAAAGGAAACGATTATCTGTGGTCTGTAGCATCCTTCTCTAGCTGATAGGTTTCATGGCAGTGAAAAGAACAGAGGGGAGAGGAAGGAATGTACATGCAAGTCTCGAGAGGGGGCCATAGAGAAGAAACATAAGAGAAAAAAGAGGAAAACAAAAACAAAAACATAAGAGGCAGCCTGGGCCATGGTGGGGGAGGGGTTGGGAAGAGGGGTGTTGAAACAGTAAAGACAGCTGCACCTGGGGGCCCGCGAACGAGTCGAGGACCGTCAGCCTTGGCAAGCTGGAATGTCTTGCCCCAGAATGGTCCTACCTCTCTTTCCTCCGAGTCTGAAAGCCCCGGGAGGCCTCGGTAGTGAGCGCAGAGCTCCTGGCGCTCTTAATAGGGGGAAGGACAGGCAGGAGAGGCGGGGCCTCCGGGCCCGGCGGGAGCGGAGCCTCTGGCCGCAGGCGGGGCTCCTCTCCGGCGGGCGGGCGCCGGAGTCTGGGGGCCTCCGCTTCCCGCTCCCGATCTGCGGAGGCGCCTGGCCCCTCCTCCCCCTCCCCGCCGCCCCCACGCCCGCCGCCGCTGTCAAAGATAACCCGGCCGTTGCCTGCAGGAGCAGCGGCAACTAGCGATCGGGCCCTGAAGAGCCTCGGGTGCGGCCTCGCCTCTCCGGCCCGGCGCCCTTATCAGCACAGCGGACAGCACAGTGATCGTCTCCAGGACCTAGGCGCCCGCCGGCCCACCCGCCCACAGGCGCTCGGGTCCGCGGCGTCCGCATCAGCACCGCGGACAGCGCCTGGCCCCCGGTCTCGTCGCCGCCAGCCCACCTGCTCCCGGAGTCAGCAGCGCCAACATCCCTCCTCGACCGGCCCCGCAGCGGGCTCGGAGCGGTTAGCGCCCCCGGAACATGGCCACTGAGGTAGGGGGCGAGCACCGGCCCGCAGTCAGTGCCTGACTGCTGTGGGAAGAGATCGCTTCTAGGGACGGGAAAGGGTGGAATGGGGTTGGATGAGGGGGCTGGGGTAGGGTGGGATGGGGTGGTTTCCCCGATCAAGTCCGGAGGGAGGGCGTAGGGGGAGGTGGAGTGTCAGGGTGGAAGAAAGGGACTCCTCATTGGAGCTCATTTGACCCCTGGCGTGTCAATCTTCCTCATCTGAGTCCCGAAGCTGTCTGCACCACTTGTTGGCACTAGTGCCAGGGTTGCTCCGGGGCTTCAGCTGGGATTTCCCCTTCTCACGGACTGCAAGTCCTGAAACCATTTCCCTAGAGGGTTGGAGACGAGCCTGAGCCTGTTTTAGGGGAGGGAAGGCGGCTGGCTGCTGTTGCTATGCGATGCAGCCATCTAGCTTCTGATCCCAAAAGTCTGGCAGAGAGATGACAGACCTACCTTCACATCCGCATTTCCTCCACGGAGGCGGGGTGTGGGGGACAGGAGGGGATGAAGAATTCTCAGGTCAAAACCCCAAATAGTTGGTTTTACTGATCTGCCTGCACCAGTTCAATTTTGCATATGACACTTTCTCGCGTCTTCACCCCCTTTGAGCTCCCTGAACCAGATGACCACATTTCTCTTGTGTCTGGTGAGAGGAGCCGCCTTCTTCAGGGTGTGCCTATAGGTGTGTCACCTTCAAGGGGCTTGAAAGCTGAACCAAGGGCCTATTAACTGGGGGCAGGATCTGTGTCAAGTGCTTAAGAGATTAGGAATTACCTTCTCTACCCCCTCATTTCACAAGGGAAATGGGGCTCTTTATATTCCCACTTTATAAGTGGTAGAACTAATACATGAAGAAGAGGATCTGTTTAATAGTCACAGCATGTCAGCACCAGAGCTGGAAGTTTCTTCTTTGAATTTGGGAGTGGAACCCAGGACACCAGATTTCCCCTGTTCTGATGTTGACTTTTTTGGTGGTGTTTCCTCATTTCCAGCCCAGCTGGAACACAAGCCCGGGGGATAGCAAAGGCTTTTGAATGATGTGAGGCAGTGCCTCTGGGCATCCTGCTGATCAGTGTGACATCAGTGCCAAGTGTTGCTGTTGTTATTCTTCTGTTGTTGCCACCACGGAATGAGGTGCAGTTGCTTGACATCACTCATCTTTCTGACAAGGCACAGGGTTAAGTAGGAGAGCTTGTCACCCAGGACCCAGTGAGAGGCAAGCCCTGAGCAGACTCATGAAGCTTGGTTTCTAGAGTGGAGGTGCAGAGTGCTCAGAGAGTGCCAAAGATCATGGGGTGGGGTAGAGAACAAAGGAGAGATGGCCAAGGAGCTGGTCACCTTCCAGACAGGCTGCCAGACTGCAGTGGAGAGGCTGCTGCTGTTGGGCAGGAAGCGGAGAGTTCAGCCACTCAGGCACAGTTGGGCCAGCAGTGTGGGGAGAGAAGGTGTCCACATCTGTGATGAGATCTGACAGATTCCAAGAGGCCCATTTGTCCCAGCAAATCTCCCTCTCCATTCTGCTATGGTTCACAGATTCCAACCAGCAGGCTTACATCCCTCGGTGGAGGCAGTGTTTCCAGGTGGCTGCTGTTAGCCTGGGAGAGGCTCTGCTCATAATGCTTCTTTGAACATAGCATTTTCTTGTGTACAAAGTGCTATCACATGCATGATCTCCTTTGAGCTTTAGAGCAACGCTGTGAAGTGGGTGAGGGTAGTGTCATTATCCCCAATTAACAGATGAGACAATTGAGGCTCAGAAGCTTGCCTAATCCCTGTGAAGGAGCCAAGGAAAGCATCATTATCCCGTTTTACAGATGGTGCAACTGGAGTGCTGAGACTTAGCCAAGAAAATGTGACTTAAAAAGTGGCAGAGCCAGGAGAAGAACTTGAGCCTTCTGCCTCCATGGCCAGTGATTTGTTTGTTGCATCTGGTGTTTTCAATTAGTCAGCTGTGTTGCCCAGTAGATAGAAGAGGAATAGGGGTCTTTTGATGGTGAAGGATGCAAAGAAGTTCAGGGGACTCAGGTATCCTGAACGGCCTGGCTGGTTCAGCTTGAGGGCAGAGGGATGGAGGAACGCCCAGAGGGGAGAGGGGCTGAGGACAAACATTGCCCATCTCCCAGTTGGGCCTTGGGTATACTCTGATGATGGCTCTGAGGGAGGAAGCCTTAGTTCTGCCAAGGCACAGGACGTTCACATTATCTGGGCTGCAGAGTGAGTCATTTTCCCTAGGCTGTTTTTACTGTTAGGACTGAGTTAAGATTACCAGAAAAAACCTGTTGGGAGAAAGAAAACCTCATGTCAAGCTCCTAGGGCCATTCCCTTAGGATTCTGGATGGGAAGTCCTCAGCTCCAGTGGAAGATGTTTTGAGAAGAGAAGGGGGAGAAAGGGAGGGAGGGAGGAGGAGGCAGGGAGAGAGGGATGGAGAGGAAAGGAGAAACAGAGGGAGAGAACTGAGAAAGATTGGATATCCTTGGATCACTGGATGGAAGGCAAGGAGACCGGCTCTTTTCTACTCCCTAATTTCTGTTTAGGAGTGAACATTAGGGGAGGGGTGTGTGTGAGAACCCCAGAGGAGGGATAAAGCCTCCTGAGCTGTACACTGACCTCATTTAGAAAACTGTAATGAGCCCATTTCCTTCGTGACAAACCTCTGTGAATGTGTGTCATGGGAGCAGGGTCTGCCCTGGAAACCAGTCCAGATGGCCAAGGACAAATGGGAAATGCCTGGCTGGGAAGAACTTCTCCAAGTGGTGGAGTTTGGCCCCTAAGAGATTTAAAAATGCACCCAAGTAGCATTAGGGGCTTCCCTAGAGGCTCAGTGGTAAAGAATCCACCTGCCAATGCAGGAGATGTGGGTTTGATCCCTGGGTTGGGAAGACCCCCTGAAGAAAGAAATGGCAACCCACTCCAGTATTCTTGCTTGGGAAATCCCCATGAACAGAGGAGTCTGGTGGGCTACAGTCCATGGGGTTGCTAAGAGTCGGACACAACCTAGAGACTAACCAATAACAACAAAGTAGCATTATCCAAGAAGGGCATTGGAAGTTTGATCTCTGAGGTATGGAATTAACAAGCAGCAGACAATGGGCTGGGGCTCTGGTGCAGTCTGAGAAGGAAGGAGGCCCTGTACCCAGGTTTCCATCCTGAGGCCCAACCTGCTGCCTGTGATTCACCATCCCCACTCCTCCTCCACACCCCAGCCAGGGAGCGTGGTGTTGGCTCATCATCTGAGTCTTCTGATTCTTGAGTTGAGTCTCAAATGTGTCCTTGGGAATTAGCTGGTTTTTAATGAGGCTGGAGACATGGGCCAGATGAGGCCTCTGCCTGGGAGTGCTCACCGGCACTGCGGTATTTGCTGCTTTGCTCCTTGGAGTCCTCCACGGCGACTCTGTCAGGCGTACAGACCCTACATGTGAGACCGGGGGTGCCTACTCTCCTGGCAGCCTCCTCTTCTTGCCACACTGTAGTTCAAAAGTTGGTGCCCACAGATCTTACTGCTGATTTTCTTTCTTCTTCATGCAATGCCTCTTGGTCCTGTCTTTACTCAGGTGCCAGCAGCTGGGGGATGGTGATGAGAAAGAGGGGAGAGTTCAGGAAGGGGAGAGGCACATGAGAAGCCCGCATTTCTGCGTCATTTAGGAAATCTCAGGAGTGCTTCCCAGGGGTGGAGAGCATCGTAGACCTATGGATCTTGAATGAAAACTCCTGTCAGCTTTCTGAAAGCTAAGTAGCTGGCAAGTGGCTTGGGCTCTGGCTCTAGCTCTGGTCCAAGGGGCTCCACCCTGGGATTTTAGTTCAGAGGTCTTAAGATGACAGCTTTAGGAGTGAATCTAGTTTACACATGTGCCTTATTTGGTCTGCTCAGTGCTTATAAATTAAAAAAAATTCATTGGAAACATTAAAAAATCTGGATATCTTATATTAAGGAAATCTGAATTTATGGCTTCTCTTAAAAAATCAGAATTATGGCAACCTGGGCACATATTCTCAGATGGCAATGATCAGCTGCTTTCTTGAGATAGCACATGAGTTCTCTAATTGGTCACAGTCCCCAGTACTTTGGCTACCCGATGCCAAGAGCTGACTCATTAGAAAACCCTGATGCTGGGAAAGATCGAAAGCAGGAGGAGAAGGGGATGACAGAGGACGAGATGGCTGGATGGCATCACTGACTCAGTGGACATGAGTTTGAGCAAGCTCCAGGAGATGGTGTGGGACAGGGAAGCCTGGCGTGCTGCAGTCCATGGGGTTGCACAGAGTTGGACATGACTGAGCCACTGAGCAACAACTACCTGCCTCACTTACATGCTTAGTCCCTGAGAACATTTGCTTTCATAATCCCTGCTAAGGCCTTTAGAATGTCAGAGCTGGCAAGGGCTTTAGTGATTATGTAGTTCCAACCTCTCAGTTTCAAGTTGAAGAAACAGAAGCCCAGAGAAGGGAAGACTTTCCCAGAATCATGTGGCCAGGACGGGCAGGCCAGTTTCCTGCTCCTTGGTCAGTAGGTTGTCTACCCACCAGGGCTTTATGGCACTTCACAAGCAAGCCACCATGGATGGAGAGACAGGAGACTGCCTTCCGTAGATTCTACTCTTCACTAACTGCAGCTGATTTTATGATATGTGCGCTCTAAGTAGATCTGGGAAACTAGGGCTCTGGCATGTGAAGTGTGTCTGATACCATCTTCTACTAACTCCTCAAGACCCCACAAGCACTCTTCAGGCAGGGAAGAAGATCCCTAGTCACTCAGAGCCAGGATAGTGTTCTGAGGCTCAGGATATTGGGTTTGGAAAGGGTATTGACCCTTCCTGGTCTGGTTACTTGAGAACCTGTGGATAAATGCCAAAAAGAAATGGGACTCTATTACGCCAGGTAGTGCCGTAAAATCTTAAATGCTGTAATAAAATAGAGGTTGGTTTCTTGCTCAGGCCTGTGTTCTTGATCAGTTGGTGGCTCTCTTCCAAGCAGTGATTCAGGGACCCAGGTTCTCTTCAGCTTGTGGTTCCACTATCTTCAACACATGGCTCCCTTGGTTTCTGTGGACAGGCAAAGATCACAGAGGAGTGGTGGTCTTTATGAGCCAAGCCTATACCTGATGTTCATCATTCCCACTCACATTCTATTCAGTCATATGGCCACACTTAACTGAAAAGGAGGCTGGGAACTAATCTAAGAGGAAGGAGTGTGTAGAGTCGACAGCTCACCAGTCACTAAAGACATACACACCTTCATGGTAGCACATGGTGCATTTGGGCATAGACAAAGGGGGATATTGGAAGGGAGGAGGCTGAGCCCATTTCAGAATGACTGAAGCACTGTTCTTGCCCTTTCTTTCTATTCTCACCATCATTGTTCTTAAATTAGACCCACTTTAGTTTTCCTCTGAGCTACTACAAAGATAGTCATACCTCCAACTGGCCCCCTACCCCAGTCATGCCCGCTTCAGTGCACCACTCACAAAGCTGCCAGAATGACCCTTCTGGTGCCAGGGGACTCCATCTTCAAGGTTGACAGGCTCATGTAGTTGGTTTAGAAGGGTGGAGGAAGGCCACAGGCCCTCCTTTTCTTTTGAAAACACAACCTTAACTAATGTGAAACCTTAACTAAACAGAGCAAATGCACTGATGAACTTATTTATGTTACCAAAGCATTCTTTATTTTTCAAAGTTATAATAGGATCCTGCTAAAAGTCAAGGGAGTCTCAATTAAAACCTCGATTAGGGGAATCAAGGACTATTAAGCCTATAGGAGCACTTGTACATTATTTCATTTGATCACAATACTTTGGGATCACACTCTTAAATAGACCAAAATTCACTTGGATTTAGGAAAATCTCATTTGCAGTCTCTGTTTTTGCACCATCCCAGGCCCTGGATCTGCTTCTACTACCAAGCTGACAACTTTTTCTCGTTACTTATTCTTCCCCAGTTCTTAAGGAAGTGTAAGTATCTTCTATCAGAAATCATCCCCTCCAGTAGAAACTTGTCAAGCCCTTTGTGATCTACCCCTTGCCTCCTTTCTACTCTCTTCATCTACTGCTTTTATCTGATCTGCAAACCAGTCCATTCTTGCTGAAATCTGCCTCCAGTCATTGCAGCAGAACTTGTTATCTGTTGTCTCTCTCACTTTGCACAGGCTTCTCCCTCTGGGTTGCCTTTTCTTCCCTCCCCCACCCCCCCTGCCCACCCACTACTACTGGTAGCTCCTTTCTGACTCTGCACAGACCTCAGGAAGCCTTTTCTTTGCAAGCATTTCTGGGTAAGATGCTACTTCCCTGTAGCATTTATCACAGTCTGATTCATTATATATTTACTTGTCTTCCTCCCTGGAGCTCATGACTGTCTTTTGATCAACATCCCCAGAGCCTGGCAATAGTAGGGACTCAATAAATGAAAGCCAAGTGACGGAATGGATTCACCTTAATTACACAGGATGAACTGGCTGTGTTCATTCTGCCTTTGGGGCTTGGGCTCCAAGTAGTTCTAATGTCTGACATATTTCACCCAGTGGGTTGCTTGTCTCAAATGTGGGTGATGGAGGCTAGAAGTGCAAAAAAGAGGCTCTGTTCTTCTGTGGAACTGAGCCCACTCCCCCCAGACTCTACAGTCCATGTCAATGCCAAGTCCTCAGGTATGGACAAGGGACCAAAGTCACTCTACTCCTTCCTCCCTGGGCAAGAGATTTCTTCAGTTTCTGGCCTTGGCCCACTTTATCCAAGATTTCTCTGGGGGAATTTCGGTGTCTGTGGGCCCCCTTCATTCCTGTGATGAGAAGTGCTGGACATAGAAATGATCTGTGGTGTCTCTGACCGGGGTCATAACCTGGCCTGAACCCCAATCTCCCTCTGAGTTCATGGGTACATCCTGTCTTCCTCTGCCCCATGTGCTCCCCTTCCCCAGTAAAGTGCTGTCGGCCCCACTTGAGGCATCAGCTTTATTCAGTGCTGGGGTCTTTAAGCCAAGGCCTGACAAGTTGTGAATGGTTGAAACTTGCTGAATGAATGAAAGAGCGAAAGTCCCTACCATGGGCGTGTGTGTGTGTGTGTGTGTGTGTGTGTGTGTGTGTGTGTGTGTGTGTATGTGTATGAAAAAGAGAGATCGAGAGAGAAGAGGATCTGGGCGAGCCACCAGGAAATGGTCTCCTTTCATTACAATTTGTTCCTGGCTCTGTTGGTGGTTCTAGAACCTCTTGTTTTGGCTCAACTTTGGCCCTGCTTCAGGCTTTTTCAGGATGTTTCTGGGATAGCTGGAGGCATCCTCTATGGTAATCTTGATAGGCCTGCTTCCCATGGCCTTCTTTGAACATTTGTAGGGTGGACAACTTGTCCTGGTTCCCTGAAAACTTTACTGATTTTAGCTATGAAAGGCCCACACCCTAATAAACCAATCAGCCTTGGACAAACCTAGAAGGAAGATCACCTTGAGCTCATGTCTCCTGATCGATTCCCAAGGTCCACAATCTGCAGGAGCTCCGTCGAAGTGCCTCGCTGGCCACCAAGGTCTTTATCCAGAGAGACTACAGCGATGGGACCATCTGCCAGTTCCAGACCAAGTTTCCCCCAGAGCTGGACAGTCGGGTAAGGATGTCTTTCCCTAAACTTGGGACACAGACCATGATGGAACTGAGGGGTTTATTAGAATATTTATCTTTTTCTAGGATAAAAGTAGTTTAGGAAACAACTTGCTAAGCCACTTCATGTGGAAGAACTAAAGCATTTTGCCTCACTGTCGCCTCCTAGAAAGTTAGAGCTGGAAAAAAAAAAAAGTCAGAGATTTTCTAGTTCAGTGGTTCTCAAATTTCAGAGAATCACCTAGGGAGCTTGTCAAACAAACTCGAATTCTTGAGCCTTGTTGGATAATATCAGGTGTCATCAGAGATGCTGATTCAACTGCAGGATTAGGTTCAGGAATCTCTTTTTAGAAGCACTCCTCAACTCCACCTGTGCATTAGAATTTCCTAGGGAGCTTAAAAGAATCCTGATGCTCAGACCACACCCAAGATCAATCAAATCAGAGTGGCTGGGGCTGGGGCCCAGCTATTGGCATTGCTTTAAATTTCCCAAGATGGTTCCAATGTGCAGCTGGGCTGAGGATCTTAATTTTTAATGAGAAAGCCCTAGGCGATTTGGCATTGGGTGTTGTATGGATCCCAATTTGAGAATCTCTGATCTCCTAGTGCAGTGCTTCTCATGATTGGCTGCCCATTAGAACCACCTGGGAGCTTTTGAAAAAAATTGCAGGTGTCAGCTTGGGTAGACTAGGACAGTGGTGGTCTTTGCTGCTCTGACCCATCCTCCCCCTTCCCAGACCGTTTAAATCAGAATCTCTTGAAGGCAAGACCTGGGTGTGCCTGGTTTTAAAATCTCCTCAGGTGATTTTAGTGTGCACCAGAATTGAGAACTCTTAAGCCCTTGAACCAAAACTGTGGCCTGTGCACAGGCAACATCCTGTCTCCTGGAAATAGCATCTCAGGCTCCACCCTGGATCTACTGACTCATAATCTGCATTTTAAGATCCCGAGGTTATTCATACGTGCGTTAAAGTTGGAGAAGCATTGCGCTAGTTCATCCTCTCCTTTAAGAGGGGAAGCTCAGGGCCAGGAAGAGGAAGTGATGTACCAAACTGACTGAGTACCAGAAGGGCCTTGATGTCCGACTCTGCTTTTTCACAGGACTCTTGTTTCCTTATGGACACAGTTGCATCCATAGTGGATAAGATAGAACTGGGTGCTCAGGTTGATCAGAGTCCTGGCAGGGAGAGCATAGAGACCTGATCCACTGCAGAAAATGTTCACCTCTTGGATTTCATGAGAGTTTTCTGTTTTCAAGTGAGGACAAATCATCACTTTTGTTTCCATTTTATAAATGTGGAAACTGAGGCTGAAGTAGTTAAATCATTAGCTCAAGGTCACACAGTTAATTGATAGCCAAGTCTGGACTGGACCCCCAGTCTCCTGACTTCCTGTCAAATGCTCCATGGGCACCTCTCTGGTCTTGCCTATGTGCCCCCAACCCCCACAATGGTGAGGCCCCACCACGGCAACCACACTCCAGGGAGGCTGATCTGGGCCCGGCTCCCTGTCTCTCTCTCCCTCCAGATCGAGCGGCAGCTCTTTGAGGAGACCGTGAAGACCCTCAACAGCTTCTACGCGGAGGCCGAGAAGATTGGTGGCAGCTCTTATCTCGAGGGCTGCCTGGCCTGTGCCACGGCTTACTTCATCTTCCTCTGCATGGAGACCCACTATGAGAAGGTGGCTCCTCCCCCACAGCCCCACCTTCCCTCCCCCCAGGGCTCTGGTACCTCAGCCTCAGCCTCAATGGGCCCCTCTCCTCGCAGGTTCTCAAGAAGATCTCCCGCTACATCCAGGAGCAGAATGAGAAGGTCTTTGCCCCCCGAGGCCTCCTGCTCACAGACCCCGTGGAGCGTGGGATGAGAGTTGTATCCTTTCTGGCTGTTCCATTCGAGGGCACCCAGCTGCAGCCAGCGGGAGCCCCAGGGAGGTCACCAGTAAGCTGGACCACCCTAGGGGACTCTGCTCAGGGTTTTCTTAGGGTTCCCCATATCCCTGGTCATTGACCTTCCTCTCCCACCATAAGTTAGTGCTATTTGTAAATTTTAGGCTTTGCTTTTATTGAGCTGCATTTAATCAGTGCGTGTGTGTGTGCTCAGTCACTTCAGTTATGTCTGACTCTTTGCAACCCTATGTACCATAGCCCACCACACTCCTCTGTCCACAGGATTCACCAGGCAAGAATACTGGAGTGGGTTGCCATGCCCTTCTCCAGGGGTTCTTCCCGACCCAGGGACTGAACTTGCATCTCTTACATCTCCTGCATTGGTAGGTGGGTTCTTTACCACTAGTGCCACCTGGGAAGCCTGCATTTAACCAGTGGTTAATATCAATACATGCCAGATGTCACAGTAAGTGCTTTGAAAATATGAATTCCTGTACTTCTCATAAGACCCCTGTAAAGTGGGTAACTCTTCTTACTGCCTTTGTAGTGGACCCTGATTCAGAGCTGCTCAGCCAGCGCCCACCAGAGCCAAGATCTGAGCCCAGGCCCACTCTTCACTGCCCTTGTATTTAACCCTCATTGAAGCCTATGTAGTAGGTCCCCTTTCACAGATGAGAAGATGGAGGTCTTGGTGGGAGACTGGTCCTCCAGTGGATTATAGGTCTACCCACTCCTCCTGATCAAGGTATACATACATCTCCCCTCCCACCCCCCACCCCCAGTCAGCAGCAGATAGTAGAATTCTTAAAAATAACATTTACTGGTAAAGAAACACAAATCCCAGGGAATCTCATGCTTACAAAGCCCAAGGAGAGGTGCTTCTTGTCATCGAGCCTTTACTATGTGCCAGGTATTGTGTTTAGTCCTTTACATGCTTTATTTCACTTAATTCTTGCAATAACTCCAAGATTCTATTATTACCCTCATTGTACAGATCAGATAACTGATGGTAACAAGTGAGGTGATTGGTCAAAAGTCACATAGCTGAGATTGGGTATGGGGAGATTTGAACTCAGGACAGCCAAGTCCTCACAATTTCCTGGTCAATCACACCTGCTACGGGGCACATTGGGTACATCGCGTGCTCGGATACAAAGATTAGACCCATTAGAATGTAAGCGCCGGGTCCTGGCTGTGCGCAGGCGCCTCTGAGCTGAGCGAGCGCAGGTGAGAGGAGGGGTTTGGGTGTGGCTCTCAGGCGTCCACGTCCTGCCTTTCTGGGAAGCAGCACCAGCTCGGCCTCGCGCTCCCCCACTGGCCTCCATCAGCCGGTTCCCTTCGGCTTGCACCCCTCCTTAACGCCCGCCCAGATCGAGATCTCCATCTACGAGGACCGGTGCAGCAGCGGCAGCTCCAGCAGCGGTAGCAGCAGCGGCAGCGCCAGCAGCAGCGGTGGGGGCGGTGGGGCGGGGGGCCGGTGACTGGCCGAGAGTCCCTGCAGGGAGGTGTACGGCTGGACTGAGGGCCTCGCAGACCTGAGGCGGCTGCGCTACCAGAGCACCCGCTTCTGAGTCATTCTCTGGGCCCACCCTGCGGCCCAGGGCTGGAAGGAGGGTGACCCGCCCAGTGTCGCTCGCGGGCCATCAGCCGGCGCCCCCTGCCCCTTGCCCACTGGCAGGACGGTCCACTTCCTGACTTGGCTTTTATCCGACGGGGCTGGTCTGGGTCACACGGAGGCAGGTCTTCCATGGGGGGTGGGGGTTGGGATAACACTAATTGGACAAACCCCTTTCTTCCGCAGCTCCCCTCCTGACACCCCCTGAAAAGGATCCAAGCCTGTCAAATAGAGAATTTCCATCCTGCATGGTACTTTATCTCAAATCCCACATCCACCAGGACTCCCTTCCTCGGGGTCCCACTCCCAGTGTGTGTGCTTTCCGATGCCACCACAGGGCCTCTGCCTGTCTGTGATCCTGCCTCCACTGATTCAAGGTCTGGGGAGACAGGAGTGGTCAGCCCCCTCCTGACCTCGTCTAGACTCCTGGCATCCCTGTCCTCCACCCAGAGCCTGGAGGTCATCTTGGACTCGCTCAGAAGTGTCCAGCTACTGCGGCTTTGCAGGTCACCAGGTGCTGGTGGGGGTGGGGCACAAGGCCTGGCCTCCGGAAGGCTGTATGGGGGTCCGGAGAAATGCTTCATGGAGAGATGTCGCCTTGGGGAGCTTGAACCTCAAAAACAGGAGCCAACTTCCTGAGATTAGAACGTGCCTGAGTGTGAGAATGAGTGTGTGTGCGTGCAGGCACGTGTGTATGTGCACATATGTGCGTGCCCTATGTGCATGAATGCACCTGTGTGTAGGTATGTGTGAGGACAAGTGTGTGCATGAGTGCACTGTGAGTGCATGTGTGTGCACTCGTGTGTGTACACACGTGTGCATACAGGTGTGTGAATGCACTTGTATGTTGTCCTTGGCTACTGGGCCGATGTCTGCCCCTCTCTGCATCTTGTCTTATCTTTTTGCGTCATGGTCTGGCTGCTTCCCTGGGGGCGTCCAGCCTGTCCTCTTGTAAATAAATGTCCTAACATCCCTTGTCCCTTGCTTGGCTGCCAGCTTGGCTCTTCTTCCTGGTCTGTCCTCCACTGGCAAGTTTGTCCCCACCTTCTGACTGTACTGTGTACATTCTAACAAAAAAGTTGGGGTTCTAGGAGAGTGGAGCCAACCTTCCAGGGCCTTCTGTGCCCCACTTCAGGTCCTCCACAACAAGGCAACAGGGCCATGGGCACTGCGTACTCAGGGGGTCTCCAAGGCTATGTGAAATGTCCTTGGAAGGTCAAAGGGGCTGCCAATCTGCAGGGGAAAAGGCAAATTTCTTTCTTGAAAGAGGGGTGTCCAGCCAGTGAGGCCCTGACTGCCGAAGCCCAGCAGCCTCTTCCTGGTGTCTGGAGATGGACAGAAGCAGGCCTCTCTTGGCCAGCAGGAGGTGCTAGAGGGGATATGAGAGACCAGTCACTGCAGGTAGCCTTTTGGAACCAAAGAGAGGCCTGACTTTCTTTTGGATGCAGGAGGAGTATATAGGAAGGGACCAGAGAGCTGGAGAGGGCAGCCCAGCCCCTGAGCCTCAGTGGGCCCTGGTCCAAGTGTTCCCAGGGTGAGCTGCAGCCCACTGATCTCCACCACAGCCCCCCTTCCCCCTGAACCCGGCCTGTGCCCACCCTGGCCCACTGCGTGGCTGGGGCTGACCTGTGGGGTGAACAATGCATATCCCGTGGGATGGCTGGGCACTGGCCATGCGGTGGCCTTTCATTTGGTTATTTCTTTTTCCAATAAAAGGACTTGCCCAACTTGAGGCTCCCTGTGGCTTCTCTCCCCCTCGGCGATGGGGGGCCAGATCTGTGCCCCAGGATCATGGCGAGGGGGTGCTCAGTGACCCACCCACCTCCTGCTGAGGAGGCAGGGCCAAGTGTGTTTCTGAAGAGGCAGAACTTGGACATGGGAGAATGGCCAATGTCTTCTTTGAGTTTGTAGTCTAGTGGGGAGGCAGACACTCCTCATCTCTAATCTGGAGCTTTTATTTGGCCCTAGGAGCCTTAGGTGGGGGGAGCAGGCTGAACTGAAACCAGGGCAAAATCAAGTCATGAATTAATTAGATAAATACCCATGTCTTGAGCTCATATCTGTTAGGGGTTGGATCATACAGGTCACTCCGTTCTAAAGAAAAGCACGTGGGTGTTGGAATCTAGCAGAGGTGTGTCTTGGCTCTTATAAAACTAAATAACGAGTAATGAGCAGTCAGTGTGTGCCAGATACTTTGCTAAACCCACAGGGCACAGGTGTGGGAGGGGATTTAAAGATCATCTGAATGAGGCAGAATGGAGGCCCAGAGAGGGTGAATGACTTGTCTCTGGTCACACAGCTGGTTGCCAATAGCAAATAGCACCAGGTTTCAAACCGATGTCTGACCCAGTGCTCACTCCAACCCCATGGGGATGACACCCAAATGGAAGTTGTCTGAAGCTGCAGGGTGGTTGGGGTCACACATTCAGGTCTGTGGGCCAAGAAAGGATCCCACCAGATTGTGGGTACAATGGTTCCACCTCTGGGTGGGGGTTTGGGGAGTGCCCTGTGTAGCTTCCCCGCTTATATTTTCTGCTCCTAAGAGGCAGTTGGAGTCGCTGCCTCTGCTCAGATCTGGGGTGTGTGCCAGTTGTCACCATGGAGTCTGTTCTTTAACATGTGGGTAGGTTCATTTTGCCTGTTTGCAACTTTACTAGTGGTAGTAATATAAACAATAGTAGCTAACATTTATTTAGCACTGACTATGTGCCAGGCACTAGGCTAAGACTCTACATAATTCATCGTTCAGTCCTCACAACAAACTTATTCCCACTTTACAGATAAAGAGACTGAGGCTCACAGAAGTTAAGTAACTTGCCCCAAATCACACAACTAGAATGTGGCTGAGCCTGGCTTTGAATCCAGACAGTCTGACTCCATAAACTGCCGGGAAGACGATACCAGCTTCGGAGAACCCCTTGGCCATCCTAGGCTCAGAGGGAGGGCTGATACCTCCAAGCCCAGGGTATCACAGGAGTGTGGGTGGTTGGGCTTCTCACGGACCTGCGGGCTCACACGTGAAGCTGCCTTGGGGCAGCTTGGTGAAGGGTAGTTGGGGGGAGAAGTCGATTGAGGTGTGGCTTCTCAGCCTGGCTTGTCTCTGCTGCCTCAGTTATGGAGGAAGTGGCCTCTCTCCTGGGTTCAGGGGTAGCCACATCTCTGCAACACTTGCGAGCCAGAGACAGGCCCCATCTGGTGCCTGAAAACACAGGAACCCCCAGGCAGCTCTGGGCTGCTGCTGCCCTCCACTGCCTCCTAAGCCTGCTTTCTGGCTTCTTTTAGCCAAAGGCAGGGGGTATGTAAAACCACAGGGTTTAGAGAAGGTCCTGGTGCCACCGAGCGGTGGCATCTCGCATTGCATCCCCAAATCAGAGCCGCTTGGGTCAGAGCATCTCAGCGGCTGGGAGACTTCTCATGACCCCCAAACCAGCAGCTGCTCCTACCTGCAAGGACTTTTCTGTGGCTTCCAGAGAGGCGCAGGGCAAAGATGGAGTCCAGTTGGTTGGTGACTGTTTCTCCCTATGGCCAACCCCTGGGGTGCTGCCTTTCTCCTGGGGGTCTGGAAGCCTGGGAAACCACACCTCCCAGATCTGGAAGGACTTGACGTGAGGAGGTGTCCAGCAAGAGGCACCCCCAACTGGTTGGGGCTTTACTGCTCACCATGGAGGAATGCAGTGCACAGACCACCCCAAGTTAGACCTGAATTAGAGCTCTGGCTTCCTGACGATTCCCTCTGGGGAAGACCCCTGAAGCCTCAGTTTCCCCAGTTTGTAAAATCAGAATACTAATGTTTTACGGGATTGCCTAGACCAATGCTGCTCATCCTTGATTGTAATTGAAATCACCTGGGAAGCAAGAAAACCTGCTGATGCTTGGTCCTATGCCCTGGGATTCTGATTTCATTGTTCTGGGGTGCAGCCTGGGCATCAGGGGTTTTAAAAGTTCCCCTGGAGTTTCTAGTCTGAAGGTTGAGAATCCCTAGATGGTACTTAGAGCCTATAAACTTTTCACAAGCCTCTGAAAATGTCTGAGACCTGAATGAAAAAGTTTGTTGGTTCCATGAATGCAACTAGACACAAAATGAGTATGAACTCTATGATTGTACTTAATAAAAGTGAAATTGAAGTCACTCAGTCATGTCCGACTCTTGCGACCCCATGGACTGTAGCCTATCAGGCTTCTCCATCCATGGGATTTTCTAGGCAAGAATACTGGAGTGGGTTGCCATTTCCTTCTCCAGGAGGTCTTCCCGACCCAGGGATTGAACCTGGGTCTCCCGCATTGTAGGCAGACGCTTTACTGTCATTCTAATACAGGCAAAACTGGTCTATGGTGTTAGCAGTCAGCAGAGATGCTGCCCTGGGGTGGGGGCAGTGAGTGGAAGAGGGGGTTTCTGGGGAATCCTGATGAGCTGTTTCTCCAGCAGTTACACAGTGGTGCTCACTCTGAGAGTTCAATGAACTGTATACTTAAGATCTGCATATTTTCTATGGTGATGGACAGAGAAGCCTGGCATGCTGCTGTCCATGGGGATGCAAAGGGTTGGATATGACTTAGCTACTAAACAACAAATGAAATAGTTGAATAAATTTATGAAGGAAGTTCATTGGCTCCAAAATAGGAAAAGAAAGCACAAAACTGAGATTAATGTTTTATTACATAGCTACAAAATGTAACATTATTTCAGACAGTCACTGCAATTTAACTCAACTCATGTGTGTGTGTATGAGTGTGTGTGTATGTGTGTGTATGTGTGGATATACATGAAAATCTTTGATACGATGAGGTGTGGGGCCTTTAAAAGAGAAAGTCCTTGGTACCTAAGAAAATCTTAAAACAGCCTAGGTTTATGCCAGGAGTTCTTAA